TTTTCCTGGACCGTGCCCATCCCTACTGGCAACTGTACCTAGTGGGCATGATTTATGCCCTGTTTTTCCTTCTGCGGCAGGTACATTCTGCTGCAGGTACAGCTTCCTCTAAGCTGTCAAAGTCTTCTGAGCAAAAATTCTACTTTGTGAGCTACTGGCATTAAAGTTGTGAGCGAGCGATTTGGCTGCTGCATAAATTAATTTGCTCTGGAGCCCTTCTTCCTCAGCAAAGACAAAAATGTGTGAGCCGGAGGCTAAAAAACTGTGAGCTAGCTCACACTAACTCAGTTTAGGGGGGGACACTGTTCATGATCTCCCTGATCCACTTGTCAGTTGATCAAAAGCATCTTGCTGTTTGCAGGTAGAGATTTTGAAAATAGTTTTCTAAACCGAAAATGAGATTGTGTCCTTGATTATGCAGATTTTAGTCTGTCCACCTGTGTGATTGATTGGATTTCAGGGTAGTGTGAATGGCACAAGTAGTTGAGTTTCATGAATATCTTCAGAGCACCACTTATTTTTAGAAAGGACAGAAAGTACTTACAGGTTGTAAGAGATTAAGACTTTGGAATCTATACGAAGGAACGTTAAACTTGACATAGTTAATCACTACACCAGGGAATTTTCGTTACCAGAATCCACTTACCGGTTGTTTATAGACCGCAGATTATGGTCAGTGTATGCTAAGTTTGCTGTGTTACTGTGAGACATCCCAACAGACCTTTACCATACAAGGTGTTGTTTGCATCAGTAAATAAATATGAGTGGCCCTGAACAGGTAAGTAAAGAGACAACAGGAAAAAACTATAGGCAGAGTGAATGCTGTATACAGAGAAAATGCAGATATTTTAGAGCCAGAAGAAAGATTCTCTTTCTTTTTTTCCGGTATGGAAGTCAGCAGAGAAGGAAATCAAGTGTGCATAGTTACACTGCCTGCAGTGTGAGGTGCTTCAGGGTTAATGCGGGACTTCAAGAGATAATACTGTTTACCAGTTCAGCATACGTGACAAAGATTTATATTTAGAGCACTCCGTGATCTTCATTGCTCAGTTAACTGTTATTTTAAGCTCACCAAGAACGCTGCTTCTGCAGACGGTGTTAGTATAGGTAGGGTATTGTAAAAAAGTACCCCCCCCCCAATTGAATGGCAGATTTTGTATTATTATTATTTTTTTGCAAAGTCAGACTTAGGCATCCCGAAACATAATTCTAGGGCGGAAACAGACGTTCAGTCCATTTTGGCCAGCTGGGTGGTAAGTTCAAGCATGGCAGCTCCCACATGGAAGACGCCCCAAAGCCATTCTGCAGGGGGGTGGCTCCATACAGCTAGCTGCAACAGTTGAAAGCTCCTTTCTGTATGCGTCAGCTCCAGATAGCAAAATATCCCCAGCAATAGCATGGCGATGTTACAGGCAATGCTCCCTCTAAGCTGTGGAGTCCTGTGAGCAAAAATTCTACTTTGTGAGCTTACTGGCATTAAAGTTGTGAGCGAGCGATTTGGCTACTGCATGAATCAGTTTGCTCTGGAGCCATCCTTCCTGAGCTGAGACAAAAATGTGCAAGCCGGAGGCTAAAAAAACTGTGAGCTAGCTCACACTAAGTCAGCTTAGGGGGAATAGTGGTTACAGGCACTTGTGGTATTGTATGTTACCAGAGGCAGGGCTGGCGTCAGCATACCCTCAGGTGGGGCAGCGGCCAGAGCTTCTGGCGGAGGCCACCGTGACTTGGGACGCCACCGCCCATGCTCCCTGCCAGCGTCACCAGGGAAGGGTGTGTCGGTGGCTGCAGAGCAGTGGCATTTTTAACAGTAGCCATGGCACTGCCCAGCCACATGTTGCTTGGTGCCATTGGAGAAAGGGCATGCAGGGCAGGGCTTTAGGCAGATGAAGGACACTTAAGTGCGTGGTGGGCGGGGAGGGAGGTGCCAGTGGGGGGCCCGGCGGAGGAGAGGAGGGGGCCCCTGAGCACTTTCTGACCACGGCTCTCCCAAACCTGGAACGAGCCCTGACTTGGAGCTTTCAAATACCACCATATGGTCACCACCCGGAGGTGTTACTTGGCAACATCAATGTAGAGACTTGTAATTTAAATCAACGGGAAGGTGGTTAGGACAGACTCCTTTTTTGGAGGGGGGGAGTTTGTGTGTGTGTGTGTATTGAATGGATGGGGGAGTAGGGTACTTGTGGGCCTGATGAGTATGACCTCCTCTCTTGTGCTGCTGTCTTATTCACAACTTTGTGCCTCTCTGGTGTTTGAGTTGAGAAAATCTTTGTACTTACCTTTTGGCTGCTTTTGTTTGATTTTGATAGCTGATCAAAAAGATATCAAAGTCTAGTGGCTCAGGCGGCGATTTTATAGTCTAAGAATGCTGTTTGAAAGGGTGTGTTGTCCCTGAAGCAGGAAAATCGTCACACGTCATGTTATCTGCTTCAGAGAGGCCAGGATTATGATACCTGTCTGCCGAGCCGTACCTGTCAAGTGGCAGGTTCAGAAATGCCACTCATCTCAACCAGGGAACTTGTAGTTATTTATTGTGAAGTAATGGATTAGATTAATTGCAGGGGAGGACATATGTTCCCCTTGTGAAAATGGTCTTAGGTATAGACAGGGAAAAGATCACGGTGGACATAATAGTTTGCTACTACGAGGTCGCATACATATGGTCTGAAAAGTAACTTGAATGAGTTCCAGGTGGGTCGCCGCGATGGCCTGAAGTAGCAGAACAAAGTTTGAGTCCAGTGGCACCTTTAAGACCAACAAAGCTTTATTCTGGGTATAAGCTTTCGTGTGCACGCACACTTCTTTATATACCTTGAAACAGAGTTACCAACCATTACAGATAGGTAGCGGGCGAGTAGGATGTTGGCCTTTCTTTCTTTTCTTTTTTTAACTGCCCCCCAACGGGGCAGGATTTTATTGCATTTTCCACATCACATACACAAACAATCATAACCTATACATACATATACATACATACTAACATACAAACAAACACATGGAGGTTATTCTTAATTCTACCAATATTTATACTAATACCTATTCCGCCTTAATAATAATTTCTCATGAACTGTGTAAGCAACTTTTCTGTCTCTGTCAGAGGTCATTTCGGGGGGGAACGCGGGGGAACACAGTTCCCCCGGGTGAGGTGCAGGGGGGCGGGGCACATGATGAAGCCCCGCCCCCTGCTTCTGGCCACCCCGCTTCCAGCCCTCATTCAGCCAGGAGGAGGCAGGAGAAGAGGGAGGGTAAGTTGCTTCCTCCCCGCTTCTCCCCACCCTTGCCTGCCTGGGGCCAGGGAGGGCCTTGGCGGGGCTTCCTCACACTCCTGCCGGCCTTCCAGGTCCACCGCCGGGCCCCTGATGTCAGGGTGTGTGGCATATGCTAATGAGTTATGCTAATGTGTTCCCCTAGCTCTTTTTCTACGAAATGACCCTGTCATCCTAACAGGAATATATTTCATTTAGTAATCTATTGGTCTGTCTCTTGCAAGCTTGCCTACATATGTTTGTCATGCCAGTTATAAAACCGTGACCAAGTATTCTCAAATGTCGAATCTGCTGCGCCTTTTATCAATAAAGTCAATTAGTCCAATTCCGCAGCCTCCAAGATTTTGTTTACAAGTTCTCGTTTTGTTGGTATCTCCAGTAATTTCCAATATTTTGCATAGAGAATTCTTGCAGCCGTAGTTAGGATGTTGGCTTTTCTAATGGGCCCATCCTGGCAACACCCTCCTCACCCGCTTCCTTTATGTAATGGTTGGTGACTCTGTTTCTACATACCTGAAGAAGTGTGTACGCACACAAAAGCTTATACCTAGAATAAAACTTTGTTGGTCTTGAAGGTGCAACTGGCCTCAGACTTTGTTCTCTTGAATAAATTCCATTACTCATTTCTGAAACAAGTCATATTTTTACTCTTAGTTTCCCCCCCCCCTCTGTGTGTATTTCACTGTGAAGTCGTTTGTCATGTTGTCTGGTAGATAATATAATATCTACACTTTAGATGAGGGCAAGAACTTTTATTAGAATCAGACCAAGGTCTTTCCTGGCTTTACAAAACCAATCTTGATAATGAGAAGATTGGAAAGTGAAACTTGACAAAAGCCACCCATTTTCTACTAAACACATGACCTGACCTGGATAGCCCGACCTGACCTGGATAGCCCAGTCTAGCCTGATCTCATCAGATCTTAGAAGCTAAGCTGGATCAGCCCTGGTTAGTACTTGGATGGGAGACTGCCAAGGAAGTCCAGGGTTGCGGTGCAAAGGCAGGCAATGGCAAACCACCTCTGAACATCTCTTGCTTGAAAACCCTATGGGGTTGCCGTAAGTTGGCTGTGACTTGACAGGACTTTACACACATGAAGCAGCCCATTGGTCTGTGAAGGCCAGTGTTCTCTACTTTGACTGGCAGTGGTGCTTTGGTGAAGGCCTTCCATATTACCTACTAGTTTTTAACTGGAGATGCCACCAGGGACTCAAGCTGGGATCTTCTGTATGCAAAGTAGATGGTCTTCCATGGAGCCAGAGCCCCACCCTACCCCTGGTAAACTGAGAATTTCCATTGAGAAAAGGGAGGACATTCCTGAACATTTGGGTACTCTATGACCCATTATCCCAAACATTCCAGAATGTCCTCCTCTTCTACAAGCAAAACGAACCTTCGTGGTAAGTCCAGGGTTTCATTCTCAGATGTCCACAACACATATTCCACAAAATGTGCTAGTTAAGTGTTGGAAAGACAGCTGTATAATCTTGAAATAAGAATAGTTCAACGTGGTTCATTAGGGGAGGAAAAAACACCCTTGCTTTTGTAAAAATAAGCTTTCGTTTTCCCTATATACAGGACTGTCATATCTATCACAGTGTTTTCGTTGCGTGTACAAGGATATTCTAAGAATGCATTCTCTCTCTTCCTGGTAACCAACAGGGAATAATTGGTACCTGGTACATTTAGAACTTACAGTGACGGATGTGAACGACAATGTCCCTGAATGGGTCATGGAGCCTTTTCCCTTCCTGGCCACAGTGTCACCTAAAGCTGTAGCCGGTACCAAAGTATACAAGCTCTTGGCTAAGGATGAAGATGAAGAAGAGAATGGAGCCATTGAGTATTTTCTTTTGGAAGGTAAACACTGATCTTTAAAGTCATAGAAAACATGGGAGGGAAAGCTGTAAGAGACCCCAACTTTTTTGAGCCTGTCAGCAACTTTGGAATTCTGACACAGGGTGGTGGGCACAACCACAAAATGGCTGCCAAAGGAGGCAGGATCATGCACACATAGGAAGCCCAAGTGCAGCAGCTTTGGAATTCTGACACAGGGTGATGGGCAGAACCACAAAATGGCTGCCAAAAGGAGGCGGGATCACACATACATAGGAAGCCCAAGTGCAGCGGCTTTGAAATTCTGACACAGGGTGGTGGACACAACCACAAAATGGCTGCCAAAGGAGGCGGGACCACACATACATAGTAAGCCCAAGTGCAGCGGCTTTGAAATTCTGACACAGGGTGGTGGACACAACCACAAAATGGCTGCCAAAGGAGGCGGGACCACACACACATAGGAAGCCCAAGTGCAGGGGAGAAGAGGGATAATTAAAAAACACACACTAGGAAAGAGGAGTTAAAGAGAATAAAACTAACACTGTGGTGGCAGCTGCCACTGAAACAATGTGACCTTCAGTGCTCAGTCAGAAGCCCTGCTCAGTACGTGCCCATCCAGCCCCACCCATTTTCCCCAAACACTTGGTGACTGCCAAGAAAGGTGTCAGCGGGCACCACATTGTTGATTCCTGTCCTAGGATATGAGAATTGGTAACATCAAGAACCCGAATAGCCTAGGCTAGCCCGAACTTGTAAAATCTCAGAAGCTAAGCAGGACCGGTCCTGATTAGTATTTGGGTGGGAGACCACCAAGAACATCTGAGGTCATGAAGGAGAGGCAGACAGTGGCAAACCACCTTTAAATGTCTCTCAGCTTATGAGATGGCCATATATTGGCTGTGACTTGATGGCACTTTCCCCCACCACAGTGTCAAGAACAAGTTTTGGTTTGTTAGTGATGTATAAATACAGCTATCCTTTTGCAATTTTGCATTTTCCTTTTATTTCCTTGAATTCTCCCTTTTGTAGGTGGAGAAGATAGATTTGAAGTTGAAAGGGACAGCGGCTGGGTTAAAACTACAGGTTCGCCTCTGGAGAAGGAGAAGGAATATTTACTTACTGTCCTAGCTGCTGACAAACCTGGCCGCCAAGGGCCACCTGTCTCTATTTCTGTCCTTGTTGGACGTCGACCACCGCAGTTTGCCAATATGTCATACACAGTTTATGTTCCTGAAAACACGCCCCCAGGAAAATCGTGAGTACTTGCATAGTTTTAAATTCTTTACTAAAAAGGTCAGATTCTACAGCCAGAAATCCTAAGCACTGCTGCAGAGAATAAATGAATCTCATCCAGTTTGAAATACAGGAGAGATGGCAGAGTGTCCTGGTAAACGTGTCGGGCTGTGACTTGAGATACATGGGTTCAGATAGCCACAGAAAAACATAGTTATTCTGGAGGGCAAACAACAGGGTTTAGAGGCCGAGGCCTTCCCCTAATGTTTCTTCTTGCAACTGGTTTTCAGGGGTTTACTGTCTCTTGAATGTGGAGGTCCCTTTAATCAACAGGGTTAGTAGCCACTGATAGACCTGTCCTCCATAAATCTAGTTCCCTTTTAAAGCCATACTGCTGTGAAGGTCACTGGTTGACTTTGGGCCAGTCAATCTCTTTCAGCTTCATTTTTCTCTCCGGCTTGCTGTGAGGATAAAATGGAGAAAAGAGAACTGTCTACACTGCTCTGAACTTGCTGGAGGAAGGGTGGGAAAAGAATGTACTAACTTGCTGGTCTCCCCCCCCCCCCCCCCACAAAACCACACCCCGGCAAAATTCAAGTCTAGTAGGCACCACAGAGACCAACAGATTTTTCAGAATCTGAACTGTTGCAACTGAGATTGGGCTGTAGGTTAGGACTGTGTGCATTCCTTATATTGGGGCATTAGTAAAGGGAAATGTATAGGCAGTAGTTAGATGATAGAGTGCCGGAGATTAAGGACATTTTCACTCTGGGACCCTGAATTCTGTCCCCCCCCTCAGTTGCTTTTCTCTCTGCCCCCTCTCCCCGATTGCTTTCATTAAAATAACCCTCTTGAGTATTGCCCCAGTGCCCTGGGGTTTGGAATGACACCTTGCATGTGCAAATGGGTTGAATGGTTTTGAAGCCTATTCGCTGCTTATGATTGGTGACATACCATATAGCAACTTGCACTCTTTCCGGGGTAAGTATTATTTCAGTCTGAACAGATGTAGGTCTTGTCCCATAAAAGTCCGTGAGATTCCCGTGTACTTCACTGAACTTTGCATCTGAGCTGACAGTCTGTTATAATTTTAGTTCATGTGCCATCAGAAGATACCGAGGCTTTAACTTAAATGGGTTACTGTCTGATTTGCAATCTGTTGTGCCAGCACTCTAAGAACTGTCATTTTTTTTTAATAACTTGCTCCTTCGAAAGCGAGAGAACATATGTTCATGTGGCCAAAATCTGGCTAGCTTGGGGTTGATTGTGAGTCGTGTTCATCAAACATACAGGGGCCATATGGCATCCAAAAACAAGAAGAAATCTTCATTAAAAATGAAAGGTTTTTATTTTAGCATGAAAACTTTTGCAGACTTAGGACTTCGACTCGGTCACGTGTAGCTTCATGGCAGAGCTGGATTTGAACTTGGTCTTCCCGTTCCTAGTTAGATACACGGTCGACTGAACTGGGTCTGTTGTGTGTCCAGAGCATCGATTTAGAATTCCCTGTTCCTGGTAGCTGAGAATTAAGGTCTTGCCAATCTTAAAGGCTTTGGGCTTGAAATGAGACACTGTGGATTCTGCTCAATTGCCTAGATTGTCTCTCTGTGAGGTTTTCATCAGCCTGCGAATCCAGATTTTCCATAAAGGTCGATTATATGGGTCTGTTCATGAATAAAGGGTGTATTCACAGCCATGGCTCTAGCTCTCTTCAGTCATTATGATTTTGCTACTCCTACTTTGCCTATTGGGAGAACATGTGACCCTCTTGATATGTACCATTGCCATTTTCTGTTAATAGGGCAATGCGTACATTTTCCATCTTGGGTACGTGCAGTTGGGAACTCTTAAACAAAACAATAACAAAAACGAAACCTGGTTTCTGATGGCAAGTACCAAAGCTGGAAAATGCAGATGTTCCCCTGTTCATACAAAGTGGTGGCACCACACACTGAAAGGATCGTTTATAATTCCTGGTATGTGTTGCAGGAGTGCTGGAGTCACAATGACTGAAAAGGGCTTGTTGTAAGTGGAGAATCAAGCCTGCTTCCATCCAGAGGTCATTTCGGGGGGGAATGCGGAGGAACGCAGTTCCCCCGGGTGAGGTGCAGGGAGGCGGGGCACATGACGAAGCCCCACCCCCTGCTTCCGGCCGCCCCGCTTCCAGCCCTCATTCAGCCAGGAGGAGGCAGGAGAAGAGGGAGGGTAAGTTGCTTCCTCCCTGCCTCTCCCCACCCCTGCCTTGGCGGGGCTTCCTCACACTCCCGCTGGCCTTGCAGGTCCACCGCCGGGCCCCTGATGTCAGGGGGGATGGCATATGTTAATGAGTTATGCTAATGAGTTCCCCTAGCTCTTTTTCTACGAAATGACCCCTGCTTCCACCTGTGTGGTCCCGTCCTTTCTACAGTCTCTTTGTCATGCTACGGTGTGACAGATTGTTGGGAACTGGATTTACTGCACGCTCATTGTATCTTTTTATTCTGTGCTTTCCCCAACTCGGATCCAGATTTTTGACAGTCCGTGCTTTGTCTCATCAAAACAAGTCCCTGAGTTACAGTCTTGTCACCAATCCGAACGGCCTGTTTAGCATTAGCCCAGCCACTGGAGACGTCCACTTCAGTCGCAGTATGGATTATGAGAATGATCAGCACCAATATCTCCTTCTAGTCCAAGCAAGAGAAAACCAGGGGCATCTCAGTAGTACAGTTGAGGTACGTGCTCGTTAATAAAGTTGCATATTTGAGTCCATGTTTATAAATTCACTGCTGTTCTGCATTTGTAGTGGCTCAGGAGCCCAAACTAGCCTGATCTTGTCAGAGCTTGGAAGCTATCCAGGGTTGTCCACATTCAGTACCTGAATGGGAGACCACCATGGAAGACCAGAGCTGCTATGGTCACCATGACTAGATGGCACACTTCAGCTTTGTTCTGCATTGACTGGTTCTGTTCTGACATTGCCTCCCGCAACTGCTGACACTGGGCTTGAACACAGCTTGTTGCTGTGCTCGTATGGTCCCTTTGCTCCTCTCCCATCGTAGTTTCCTGGGGTTGATCAAGTCCAAGTTAGGAGTGACGTCCAAATGTTGCCTCCTTGGTAAAGTTGAGTATACCTCAGTTTAAGCATAGTTTAGAGTCTTGGGGTGTGGCGAGTAAACAGACTCCTGTTCGCCTGCAGTTGGGTGTTGCAGAGAATTAGAGCTTGGTCAAACCAGGGTGTTGTGAACCTAGCAAGCTCCAGGGCTATTTGTGGGCAGGAACGCACTGGAACGGAGTTCCGACTGGCTCCTGAGCTGGCCACGCCCAGCAGGATCTCATTAGCATAACAGGCCACACCCAACAGCAGAAACTCATTAGGATTGGCTACATTAGGGGTGTGTGGCCTAACATGCAAAGGAGTTCCTGCTTCAAAAAAAGCCCTGAGTTTTGACTACAAAGTAAAGGGAATAAGAAACAAAAGGTGGGTGTAGCCTAATATGCTAATGAGTTGTGCTGTCCGGGGTGTGGCCTAATATGCTGACGAGTTTCTGCTGCTGGGTGTGGCCTATTATGCTAATGAGTTCCTGCTGAGCTTTTTCTACCAAAAAAGCCCTGGCAAGCTCCATGTATGGATGGAGAGGGAAGGAGCAAGTGGTAACATCCCAGCATGGTGGCAGTCTGCGTCTCTCTGCCCAGTCTCAGTTTAATCTCACCCTGTTGTGATGTCTGAATGTGGCCATTGTTAAGTCACCGTAATAACTTTTTAGTTATTGAATTCTAGCCCACCCGGGTCCACCTCCTCCAATTTGAGCCTAATGAGGTTCTAAGATTTTCATAGGGTTAGGCTTCCATTTGAAGTGAAGCTGGTGGCCATGATGGATGGGCCCTTCTCTTTGGGGCGCCTTGTCAGTAGAACACCCGCCTCCGAACCCTTCACCTGGTGCCAACGTTGCAAACGAAGATGTATTTTCTCTGCCTTTGAAAATAGTTGTCTTGTTCACCTGTTAGGTCCTCCTCTTGTGACGTTCCGTATCTGATGCTGCAGGCTTCTTTTTAATGTATTCCGCTGCCTTCTCCTATTTTGTAAAATGCTGCCCTGTGTTTTTAACGTTGCTTTGTTGTTTTGCTGTGTTGTCGTCATCTTTGCTTTAAAACTGCTTTGAGCCGTGTTTACTGGAGAGTGCAACGTAAAACACAAGCATACTAGATAAATCGATGGCTGGGTGTTACATTATGCTGTGCCCTGATCTGAGTGACTCAGGCTGCCCCATCTCGTCCGATCTCAGAAGCTAAGCAAGGTCGGCCCTGGTTAGTACTTGGATGGGAGGCCCCCGAGGAAGTTGAGGGTTGCGGCACAGAGGTGGGCCCTGGCAAAACCCTCTCTGGGCATCTCTTGCCTTGAAAACCCTATGGGGTCACCATAAGTCCGGCAACTTGATGGCACTTTCCACCACCAGGTTATATCAAAACATTCTTAGAAAACATAATTTGTCCATCCAAGTAAGTGTCAACATTTAATTAGCTTTGAGATCTATCTTTAACCTTTTACAGTTATACAGGATTGGGAAGATATTTTCAGCGCTGAGCCGCTGGTGTCACATGTCTAGATGTTCGAGCAACTTGGCTCCTGGGATTCAGCCAGCTTCCTTCTAGACGAGGAAGAACTATCTTAGCTGCTAAGTGCCTTCCTTTTTATTTGGAAACTACAGACTTCTAGAAATCCCCTGAAGATTATTATTTTGGGGGGAAACTAGTATCAGACTTATCTATAACAATGAAGACACAGCAGGGATCCACTTTGATATTTCTACACGTTCTCTTGTCTTTCCCCCCCTCCTTTTAGGTTTGGGTTGTAATTACAGACATAAATGATTGTGCTCCAGAATTCCAGCAGTCTATCTACACCAAAGATGACGTTCCTGAAACAGTGACTGTAACCACTGCACTTCTACAAGGTAAACCCCCTTTCTCTCAAAAGAGGGAATCTTGATGCACCAATGCTCTGATCTGCTATAAGGCTGTCACATGATCTGCTAGTGAATGCTTGCTCCTTTGGGTATTTTTGCAGTTCTCTCTGGCCAGAGTTCAGGGGTGGTTCACATGCTGATACCTCCTACATTTTCCTCTCCCCCCCCCCTTTTCAGTGATAGTAGTAGTAGTAAAATTTATTGTGTAGCCATTGGCCATTACAATTTAAAACAATATACAAATGAGACAATTTACAGCACTGGAATTTGGATTAGATTTAAAATATAACAACCTCTAAAAATCTGCACATTCAGTATTTAAATTAAGATAAATCTTAAATATAGATACCCATCTCCAGAAACACATACACAGCCTCAAACATTGCCGTTTTACATTGCTGTTTTACAGTTCAATTTCATTTTCCTATGTTCTTGGCCCTAATTTTACTAGCCACTAAGGCGAAGAGTGCTACCCTATAGGAAACCGTAGGGTCTGTGTCTGACAGCAGAAATATTAATTTACTGCGATCTTTAGGGAACAACTGCGATCTGAGGCAATGGGTGTTTAATGGAGATGCCATAATAGATTATTCTTTAATCATTCAGTCAAAATTTGCTCCCTGGTACAAAGACATAAAGAAAGATCATTTAAGAGCTGCATACCTGGTAAATGTTACTGCATACAAGCTTAGAACAGCATCTACAGCATTGCGTTTCCAGACTATGCCAACAGAATTACTTAACGATACTTAAAAATACCCCCGGAACAACGTATTTGTATCTGTAAAATTTCTGTGGAGGATCTTTTTCATTATGTCATGGTCTGCCCATTGTACTGGGAACAGAGATGTAAATTCTTGACTGCAATAATAGATCAATTGCAAAATTTTTCTGACACTGATAAATTAATATTTTTGCTGTTTACATCTCGGTTCCCAGTACAATGGGCAGACCATGACATAATGAAAAATCCGCACTTGGGGGGCAGAGATTTTCCTGCACCTGGAGCAGTCTCCAGGTGTGCAGAAAAATCTAAAAAGTTGAAAAAAGTATACTGGGGATATTTAAAGTAAATATCCAAAATTGCGTCAAAAGTAAAAGAGCGTTACCTGCGCATGCGCAGAGAACGCCCCGGCAACTGTCCCACTGCCGCCGCCTCTAGGGCAGGAGTGGGAGGGAGAAGGTTTGGTGGGCCTGGCGGCTGGGAGCCATGCGGGCCTTGCTGTTGGTGCCGGGGGGGCGGGGGAGAAGGCTCACCTGCAGCTGCTTCCTCCTCCTCCACGTGGAGCTCCCCCCCTTGCGAGTATCGTGGGTCCCCCTTCTTGTCATTTATATATAAGTTAAAAAGTACAGGGGTTAACACACAGCCCTGCTTGATGCCTTTGCAAGTCAGTATTTTGCTGGTCATCGAGCCTTGAGGTACCTACTCTAATTTTTGCATATGTTTCTGTATGTAGCTCATGAATAAGGAACAACTGTCTTTTATCTATATTAGTTTTCATCAGCTTGTCCCACAGCTGGTTTCTGTCAATTGAATCAAAGGCTGTGGCCAGAACACAGTGTATAAGGCTTTAGTTGGACCTTTTATGGCCGAGTGAGCCAGCTGATAAAGAGTATGGCAATGGTCAATTGTCCCTTGGCCCTTTCTAAATCCTGCCTGTTGGGGATATATGATATTATTATCAGCAACCCAGTCCTCCAGTTTTTGCAGAAGATATCTCCCATACAGTTTGGATGCTGTATCAAGGAGGCTCATAGGGTGATAGTTTTTTGGGTCTGTTTTGTCCCCCTTTTTATGTATGGGGACTACTATACCGGTTTCCCACCCTATTGGGAATATGCCCGTGTTATTTGTTTGGGTAAATAGTTTAGTGAGTATTGGAGTCCACCACCTTGGAAAGGTTTTTATTAAATCTGAAGGAATCAAGTCCTCTCTGGGTGATTTACCTGAAGCCAAAGATTTAATAAGGGTTCCAATTTCAGATTCTGTCACTGGAGGCCACTCTGGTAATGGTTGCAATTCATTAGCAACAGCCCATTCCCCTGTTTCTGCTGATTCTGACATAAATGGGGTGGCTTCATAGCTTTTTGTAAACTACTCAAATCAGGTATTTCCACTTACCTATGCATCCGTCATTTCACGAGGTCTGCCTAAACTAGAGGAAACAATTTCTCCAAAACGTGATTCTTTCCTCTCAGATATGGCCTGAACTAGCTCAGTCCATAATAAATGCTTAGCATAAGCAGTTTTTTTTCTTTTTAAGCCGGCTCTTATATTGGGATCTAAGTGTGTTTAATTGTTGGAGTTGGTGGGGCTCTTTACTTTGTCTAGTTAGTCTAATTTGTTCGGTTGTTTCTTAAAATTTCTACATTCTCAGTCGTACCACCCATTTGTAGAACAGGAGTGAGTATTTGGGGGTCTGTCATTGATAAGCAATGGCTTTATAACTTGTGCGGTCTCTTCATAGTGTTGAATAATATTTGCTTCTGATCCTAATAGAACTTGTCTCCTGTCCTTAATATCAGCACTTTCCAAAGCAACCTGTACTGTTTTTGTAGCTGTTCTGACCACCTTTGTCTCCTCCCTTTTCAGTGATATGGTTCTGTTATGTATGCTATCAGCTATGAACTTTTAGGCACATGCTTATTAAATGTCATAGTGGAATTTATGTTCATACGCAGGAAAAATGCATGATTGCTGACTCTGTGTTGGGAAATACATGACTTTGGGGGGTGGAGCCTGCGGAAGGCGGGGCTTGGGGAGGGCAGGGACTTCAAGGGTGGTATAATGCCATAGAGCCCACCTTCCAAAGCAGCCATTTTCTCTAGGTGAACTGATCTCTGGAGATTTTGAGATCAGTTGTAATTCCAGGCTTTAGCCATCACCTGGAGGCTGACACCCTATATCTGTAGGGAAGCCCCTTGTATGCTATAACGGAAATGTTTCAAGCATCCCATCTTGTGATGACTGATAGCGACTATCATTTATTTCCTGCCGCTTGCTTATTCTCTTCTGGAGCTTAGTTGCGAGCTAAATTCCAAGCCACCTTGAACCCCAAGGGTGGAGTATAAATGTTTAAATGTAAATATGACTGTATAAATGGGAGGGGTCATAGCTCAGTGCTAGAGCATCTCCTTAACATAAGAACATAAGAGAAGGCAGTGTTGGATCAGGCCAGTGGCCCATCCAGTCCAACACTCTGTCACACAGTGGCCAAAAATACCAGGTGCCATCAGGAGGTCCAGCAGTGGGGCCAGGACACTAGAAGCCCTCTCACTGTTGCTCCCCCCAAGCACCAAGAATACAGTGCATCACTTGCCCCAGACTGAGAGTTCCTATCTATACCTTGTGGCTAATAGCCACTGATGGACCTCTGCTCCAGATGCTTATCTAATTCCCTATTGAAGCTGTCCATGCTTGTAGCCGCCACCACCTCCTCTGGTAGTGAATTCCATGTGTTAATCACTCTTTGGGTGAAGAAGTACTTCCTGTTATCTGTTCTAACCCGACTGCTCAGCAATTTCATTGAGTGCTCATGCAGAAGGTCCCAGGTTCAATCCCTGGCATCTCCAGTTAAAAGATCTGGCAATAGGTGATGTGAAAGACCTCTGCCTGAGACCCTGGAGAGCTGCTGCCTGTCTGAGCAGACAGTACTGACTTTGATGGACCAAGGTTCTGATTCCACATAAGGCAGCTTCATGTGTTTAAGTGTAAATAAATATAATAAATAAATAACTGAAGTGACGTTTTTCTTCTGCTTCAACAGTGTCTGCCAGCGACTGCGATTCTGACAAAAATGCAGAAATACTTTATTACACTCTGAGCTCCGATTTCAGCATTTCTACCCATGGCATCATCTTCCCAGCGACAGAGTTGGACTATGAGCGCCCTAACCATCTTTATGAGTTTGTAATTATGGCTATAGATAGAGGCGAACCCCCGAGGACTGGGACAGCAACCATCAGGATTCGTGTCTCAAATGTCAATGACGAAGCGCCCAGGTTTTCACAGATAATGTAAATATATGTCATTGGGTTTTATTACAGCATTTAGCGGTTGCTTGTTCTTGTGTCTGCATGGCAGTCGCAATGATTTATGTTGCTGATACGTCAACAACATTTCTTGAACTCGGCGTGTGAAGCAACAGAGAGGGAGGTGTAGGGAGTAAGACTGTGCAAAGAACCAGGAAGTCATACGCATATATGGAGCTGACCAAGTCAGAAGATTGGTCCATTGAGTTCAGTCATGTGACTGGCAGTGGCTCTCCAGGGTTCCAGGCATGGCTGATTAGGGGTATTGGTGAAAAGTGCTGTCAAGTTGCAGTCGGCTTATGGTAACCCTGTAGGGTTTTCAAGGCAAGCGATAAACTGAGGTGGTTTGGCATTGCCTGTCTCCACGTAGCAACCCTGGCCTTCCTTGGTGGTCTGCTATCCAAGTACTAATCATGGCCGCCCCTGCTTACCTTCCGAGATCTGACAAAACTGGGCTAGCCTGGGCCATTCAGGTCAGGGCGAAATTGGTTTTAGGGTTAGTTTGTGGAATTAGGATTTTCTATTTCAGTGCTTGAGTTTTGGATCCTTTTATGAGTTTCCGTAATCACACCTAGGATTTTTTTTTTGTCCCGATAGCTACAAGAGTTTTGTTTCCGAAGATGCGGGTCCCAACACCTTGATCGCCACTGTTCATGCTATAGACCCTGACGGAGATGGTGTCTCTTACAGCATTACTGGAGGAAATCGAAAAGGAAACTTTGTTATCGACCCTCAGAAAGGTAACGGTGACATTTTTCTGCAGTCACTAACTTGTTGCACACAACTGTGTCCAAAGTACATGAATCTGTTTAAATTCTTGGGTGTCTCAGGGGCCACTAACTTCAGTAGTTTGTTTCCTTGTTGTGCGCGGTCGCTCTTCAGTCATGTCTTAACATAGTGAATTCAGACTGCAGTAGATACTCTGCTAGGTTCTCTGAAGTCATTGGCTTCAGTCCCCCAGAATTCCCTGTAAAACAACAAAGGAAGTGGCTGATGGGAGTCTTGACAACTGGTAGTTATTGTGACTCTTGGCTTTCTCCTTGAGCTTGAGGTCTGTTGCATCTTGCTGCTTGGTTTCTTCTTTTTCCTGTCTGCTCTGTTGTTTCTGTTAAGTTCTTCTTCCTAAGTTTTTCTCCTTATCTCCCTTATATATAAAAGCCAAATGGTGGTGGCACTTCTCTAGAACATTCCACACACTCCAAAATCAGTTCGCTCTCTGATCTGTCATTCAGAGGGTCTCCCTATTCACTGGCTGCTTTACCTGAGTCCTGCCTCCAGCATTCTAAACAATCTTCTTCGTGGTCTCTGTGCATCACACCCTTGGGATACTCTGCGCCTGCGCTGAACCTTCTCGGTACCGATAGCTAGCAAAAGGGATTTTCGCGCCTCTCCCAGGTCACGCGCCGGCTCCACTGCGCATGACCAAGGAGGGGCACGCAGATCCCGCCAGTTCTCTTCTGACCGCCGCGCTGGTAGGACGCCTTCTGCTTCGGTCTGTTAAGTACAAACTTTTGCTAAACTTGCGTTTAGTTACTTTCTTTTTCTTTATTTTTGTAGTTAGCATTTTTCTCCGGGTGTTTGTTTTGTGTTTTTCTCGTTTCCCCTCCGCTGGCCTATGGCCCCGCGGTGGGGTTGTTTCAAACGGTGCAAGACTTGCGGCCTTAAAATATCCCCCACCGACGGGCACTCACTTTGCCTCGTCTGTCTAGGGGAGTCGCACTGTGTGTCTAAGTGCAGACATTGCCGGAAGTTTTCGAACCAGACGAGAAAAAACAGGGCAGCTCGTCTGCATTTGGCTTTGATGGAGAAGGCACTATCTCCTCAGTCCTCCTCTCCGTTGGACACGTCCGGACACGCCTCGATGTC